TGTGCCCCTATGCATCAGCACTCCTGTATCCCTTGGGTAAATTCCTAGCAGTGCTATTGCTGGGTCATAGGGGAGTTCTATTCTTAACTTTTTGAGGAACCTCCACACTGTTTTTCAGAGGGGCTGCACCAGTTTACATTCCCACCAACAATGTAGGAGGGTGCCCATTTCTCCACATCCTCGCCAGCATCTAGAGTCCTCTGATTTGCTCATTTTAGCCACTCTGACTGGAGGGAGGTGGTATCTCAGTGTGGTTTTGATTTGTATTCCCTTAATGATGAGTGACGTTGAGTATACTCTGCAGTTTTGAACTCAGTTATTAGTTTTGGCAACTTTCTTTTGGATTTTTTTTAGGATTTTCTATGTATGAGATCATGTTGCCTGCAAATAGAGACAGATTTATTTTTCCCTTTCCAATCTGGATCCTTTTGATATCAGGTTCTTGCCTCATTGCCGTATTAGGAAACTCCAGTGCAATACTGACTAGAGGTAGTGAAAGCAGATATCTTTGTCTTATCCCTTATCTTAGGGTAAAAGCATTCAGTCTTTTGCCACTAACTATAATGTTAGCTGTGGGTTTTTTTTTTTTTTATATGTCCTTCATCAGATTGAGGATGTTCCCTCTATTCCTAGTTTTTCAAAGTTTTCTTTGTTTCTTATGAAAGGCTGCTATATTTTTTAAAAATTTTGTTCAATTCACTGAAATGAAATGGTGATGTGGTGCTTGTCTTTTTTTTTTATTCTATTAAAATGGTGTATATTGACTTTCCTGAGATTAACTCTGTTTGATTGTGGTACATAATTCTTTTTATTTGTTGCTAAGTTCAGCTTGTTAGTATTTTATTGAGGATACTTGCATCTGTATCATAAAAGTTTTCATGTGATCTGTAGTTTTCATGCGATGCCTTTTTCTGATTTTGGGATCAGGGTGATTTTGGCCACTTAGAATGAGCTGGGACTGGGAAATGTCCTCTCTTTTTTTACTTTTTGGAAGAATTAGTATTATTTCTTTTTTTTTTTATAAATGTTTTTTATTTATTTCTGAGAGAGACAGACAGCGTGAGCAGGGGAGGGTCAGAGAGAGAGGGAGACACAGAATCTGAAGCAGGCTCCAGGCTCTAAGCTAGCTGTCAGCACAGAGACCGACGCGGGGCTCGAACCCACGAACCGTGTGATCATGACCTGAGCCAAAGTCATACGCCCAACAGACTGAGCCACCCAGGCGCCCCAGTATTATTTCTTTTTAAATGTTTGGTAAAATTCACTAGTAGAGTCATCTGAGGTTGTTTTTATTTTCTTATTGGGAAGATTTAAAGTTTTTCAGTTTCTTTGCTTGCTGTTAATGTATTCAAGTTTTCTAGTTATTCTTATGTTTTTTTTGGTAGTTTGTGTCTTTCTAGGGATTTGATGATTTCATCGGATTTATTTAATTAACAGGCATGCAAATGTTTAGAGCATTCTCTTACAATCTTTTCTGAAATTTCTGTAAAGGCAGTAGCAGTGGTTGCTCTTTCATTCCTGATTTTAGTCTTCTCTCTCTCTCTCTTTTAAAATCATTTCTTAATAACTGTGAGAATACTCCACTCTTTTTAAGACCTCTTCTCTTTAAGTATATTCTGGAACTATTAACAAACTTGTTAGTGGCCCCTTTCACCTCCCAGAATTCTAATCTCTTTCTTGTCAACTCAGGAAGGGAAACTTGCTCCTCTTTCCTGTGCCACCATCCATAGGGTACCTTTCATCAAAATCCAAAGCAATCTTACAGTTCACCCTGATTGCTTTGCTTCTCTCAGAGACCACAACATTGTGCTGCTGGTTGTCCAGAGTCTGAAAACAATTGTAGTTGTTTGATATATTTGTCCAGTTATGTGGTTCTTCCAGGTAGGAGGATATGCCCAATACTAGTCTGCCTGTAATTTTTGTCATTTGGTTTATTTTAGCATATTTTGTACAATTCTAGAACAGGTTGCTTATAGATTCCCTTCATTCCATGTGAAGTCATATTGGAATATGAACCAGCAAGTCACCCAGGTATCTACCTAACCCACAGGAAAATTCACCAATGCTTGCCACAGCAAAGTTGGAGTACAATGTGCCTCTATCTTCACCTTGACATCTCTTTTGGATCAACAAGATACGCCGTGGTCTAACCAGGGATTATACACCAATATTCCCTTCTCACAGACCTCTCTCTTTATGTGATTCTCTTAGAAATTCCACCTCCACTTGGTTTAAAAGAGGAAATAATCTATGCTCTTTCTTTCATCCATGAAAAAGTGATGGAATTGACTTGGACCATGTGCCAACCTTGGAGTCAGAGAACCTTACTTAAAATTCTATATCCATTATTTACTGTGTGACTTTGGGCAAGCTATTGAATCTCTGTACTCCTTAGTTTCCTAATAATAGTATTATAAATATTTAGTTAGTTAGTATATATAAAGTGCTTACAAGAATGCCTGGTACGTAAGTATTATATAAGTGTGAAGTATCATTTGTGTTGTTGTTATAATGAACAACACTGACCTCTTCACAAGGTTAATGGCTTCCACGTTTCTTTATATCTTTCCCTTACCTGTTTCCTCACACTGAGTTGGGGGGAAGGAAGTCTGGGTTGATTGTTGTATGTAGTAGAGCTGGCTTAGAAATGCTTTTTGGCAAGCTCTTATGAAAGTATCTGGTCTCAACTGTTGGAGTTGTTTTTTTTTTTTTATGATACATAATGCCTTTTTGTTCTCACGTGTGAGTGCCATTAGTCAATACTAGGGAAACAAGTCAAATCTAACTAAATACCTTACTTGCATTTGCATGCATTTTCATACCAGCTTTTACTCAGAAATGGAGATACATTCCATGAGATGTCCAGAAGATCAACTAAAGATGTTCTTATCTGGTAAGATTGTTGGAGGATGATATAAAATAATTCATGGCAGTGACATGATCATATTTGTTGCTTGGAATCATGATTCTACTAGAAAGTAACAAGATGTAAGTCAAAGAGACCAGTAAATGTTGTGGTTGTTCAGGAGTTTATAGCTGTTTGCTTTAAGGGGTGGCAGTAGAGCCAGAGTGAGAACTGGAAGGATTCTCGAAATCTTTAGGTGGTATTCATTGAGACCTGTCATTTACTGGAGCACGTGGTATTTTTCAGTAATGTACTAAATGTTTTATATAAATTATATCATTTAATTTTGACAACTCTATGAAGTATTACTCTTATTTTATAGATGAGGCACAAGGAAGTTTTAATTTCCAAGTTTTAGATTCAAGGTTACACAACAGGTCAACAAATGCAATTAATTCAAACCCAGATCTGTTCAAAGCTACATTTCTTACCACAGTGCTAAAATCTGCAGCACCTGGATCCATCCAGCCATTTGAAAATCATAAGTCTAACCATCTGTATTAAAAAGGTGTTCATAGAAGATTCAGAGATTCCCCACCCCACCAATAAATCTTATACCTCTATCACAACTTATCATTTCTTAATAACTGTGACAATACTCCACTCTTTTAATACTTAAAGACCTCTTCTCTTTAAGTATTTTCTGGAACTATTAACATCAAACTTGTCAATGGCAACTTTGTATTCATAATGAGCTACCACCTTCCTAAAAACAAGTTTTAAGAGCACATTCCTGGGGGCGCCTGGGTGGCTTAGTCGGTTAAGCGTGTGACTTTTGCTTAGGTCATGATCTTGCGGTTCGTGGGTTTGAGCCCCGCGTCGGACTCTGTGCTGACTGCCAGCTCAGAGCCTGGAGCCTGTTTCAGATTCTGTGTCTGCCTCTCTCTCTGACCCTCCCCTGCTCACGCTGTCTCTCTCTCTCTCTCCTAGAAATAAATAAAAATATTTTTTAAAAAAAGAGCACATTCCTCTTTCTGTTGCATATATTTCAAACTAACATATCAACAACAATGAATCCACTTAGATTAGTGTCAAAATCCTTAGTAACAAAAAATTGAGTGTGATAAGTGACTAAATGTGTCCAGTTTATGTCAGTGCTTCTAATTCCCCAGTGTGGCTGAATGAGGTATAAGAAAACATAAATAGGATGGTGATTCCTTGGAGAAATGAAAAACTATTTGATTCTGAATAAGACTATTGAAGAAAGGTAGGATATTTTGAATACAGGAAATAAAGAAAGAAAATTACATAGTACAAACAGAGAGAGAGCGTGATATTGATATCAAACTAGTAAAGTTTTATGACTGATTTTTGAGATTTGGAAATCTAAGGGCAAGGTACTGTTGGATTATGGCCTCAGTAGTTCACCTAATGAAAGGACCTCACATACCCAGCTCCTCAGAAGGGTAGCTTCCAGCTGCCTTATATGTTTTAAACTTCCAAAAATGGGTCTGCCTGGAGAGTCTATATTTATCTTCTGACTCAGCAGCAGAAACAGGTGTCTGAACCATTTTCCCCTCCTATCATGAGTCTTTTTCCAAATGTATGTATTGTTATTGTATTTATGATTAATAAAAAAATACAGTGAATTGATGGGAAAAATTGAAGTGTAGGAAATTATCAGAATAAAACTAAAAAACCACAATCTCAATCATTACTTTCTTTCCTAATTTACTCCACCCCCTAAAATTTAGTTTTAAGAATTGAACAGCAAGATAACTGTGGCTATTAGTGACTGGTGGGGAGGTGGTCGAGGGAAAACTGCTGCCTTTCTGTTGTAGCTTAGAAGAGGATAAATAATCTCTCTCAACACAACCCTAAAAAGTAACAATGGTTAATATGACTATAGGAAGATGCAGCCCTTCTCTGGTTATCAGAGAAAGGCAAATTCCAACCACAGGGAGAAAGGGCCACTTTTGACCTCTGAAATTAGCAATGACAAAAATGAGTAACAGGTCCTGGTGTGGTGGGGAGGTGGGATGTTGGTAAGTCGGCCCACTTCTGCAGCACAGCTGGTGGGAGGGGAAAGGGGAGACCGGAGTCGGAGGATGACATAATCCTCACGTGATCAGCAGCTGCCGGAGAAATCCTTATATTCCTGTACCTCTTTCTCCTCTGGGTACCAGCTCCTTACTGTCCTGTAGGCGTTCGTGCTTGTGGCCAAGAGAAGGAGGACTTAAATTCTTTAAATCTCAAAAGGTTGGTTTGAGGGAACCGCTGGGACCCCTGGGGTGGTAGTGACTTAATCTAGTGACTGGAATAAGTCCAGGCTCGATTTTCCCCAAACCCCTGCAAACTCGTTGGTAGATTATTGTATTTTTGAAAGGACAGGGTGGGAGAGTAGGTGGAAGTCTCCTGAGAGGCAGCCACAGATTTAGTGATAGGTTAGAAATAACCGGCTTCTCAGATTAGTAAGCTTTCTGTTTATCCTACTCTTTCTCCAATTCCGTTGAGGAAAGGAGGTGTGGGCTGTTGTGTAGAGAAAAGCTAGAATCCTGGGGTGAAGGCAAAAATTTAGACATAATTTGAAAATATTTTCTCCCATTCAATGCCTCCCTGCGGGTCATGGGGGTGGGGGTTGGGGCCGAGGGGACAACAGCCCTAGAAAAGACTAGGCCAGAGCTTGAGGGGTGGGGGCTGGGGACAGAGATCCAGGAGTAAGAGATAAGAATAGGAGGGGAACCAGGAGGTAGGAAATTTGGGGCGACAATGGTCATGAAGATCCCGGATTCAAGATAATAACGGGTGTCTTGTCTCTGGGGCTGGTGGTTCCACAGAGAGCTCCCTCCTTCCCGCCCCCTTCCTTTCTGTCTGCAGGTCCACGGGTCTGCATTCACTGACATCTCGAGGCAAAAAAAAAAGAAGAGGAAACTATCCTGAATCCTCACAGGTCAGTGTCGGGGAGGCACATAGGCCGGGGTCTCTGAGGGTGGGAGTTGGGAAGGTCAAGATCGGGGTAATATTTGCGGCCTTACAGTTCAACTCTCGATGTATTCCCTTTCTCCCGCCCGTGGTAGAGGCCATTAGCCTTGCTTGCTGGGGTAATGGTGGGATTCAGGGGGAGGGGGAAGGAGGAGGAGGGGTGGAGGTGTGGGAGAGGAAGGAGCTCAAACTTCGGAGGGCTGGACCTGTGTGGTCCTAGTGGAAGATTAGGCGAGTACCTTGCTTCAAAGAGAAACTGACAAACCTGAATCAAAAGAAACGAAGCATTTTGCTCTACATTTTCTCCCCGGACTTAAGCTGGAAACATCATGCAAAAAACCTGCAAAGAAAATGAAGGAAAGCCCAAATGCAGCATACCAAAGAGAGAAGAAGAACGCCCCTATGGAGAATTTGAACGTCAGCAAACAGAAGGGAATTTTAGGCAAAGGCTGCTTCAGTCTCTCGAGGAATTTAAAGAGGACATAGATTATAGGTATTTTAAGGGTGAAGAAATGACAAGGGAGAGAGATGAGATGGAAAGGTGTTTGGAAGAGATAAGGGGTCTGAGAAAGAAATTTAGGGCTCTGCATTCTAACCATAGGCATTCTCGGGACCGTCCTTATCCCATTTAATGCATTTCTTCTCTGAGTTCAACTATTTTTCTGTTACTTATATTACCACCATTGGTTTCTTTTTGTCTGAATTTTCTTGCTAAATATTGCTACCATTTTACCCCTATCCTTCAGTGTTCCTTTGATTTGCATATGACTCCTGTTTCCAACATTTCATCTTTTGACTCAATCTCACTCATTTAATAAGGATGTTTCATTCATTTGCATGGGAAGATGCTCACTGTATATTGTAAAGTGAAAATAATAAGTTGCTAAACAGTGCGTGTATGTGTGTATATATGTGTGTGTGTATATATACACATACACACTTTATACGTACATTTATATATGACATAAAGCAAAAGTCTGAATTATTATACACCGAAAGGTTAACAGTGAATTTCTGTGTGATATGTATTTTATTTCATTTTTGTTTATCTGCATCTTCTCATTTTCCAAAAAAATATGTGTTTATGTGTGTGTATTATCTGTGTCACAAAAAACTAAAATAAGCAGACACAATTTAAAAAAAGTGTCAATCACCTTTGAAAGGCAATAAAATACTTAATAAATTCCTGATAACAAAGCTATAAAAAAGAAATGTAAACTTCAAATTACCTTTGGATCTCTTAGCCAGAGGAATAAAATTGGTAATTATTACAGATATACTTGCTGAGACTCAGTCTTTTCATGGGGAAAACATTTTCCTCACAGAGCTTCTGTGAGGAAGAAATGAGGCAACTCTGAGCTGTGCCAGGTGGACTCATTCCCACCTGTGCATACAGAACCCCAACCAACTACAGAGCATCAGGTATTTGAGGAAGGGCCCTGGCATGACTTACCTGTGCTCAGGAACAAGTTCACTAGTAGGGCAGGGCATTGGGGGTTTCCGTGCCAGTCATCTACTGTTAGACCCCACCTTCCCCCTCCTCTGGGTTCTGCCATGCCTGCTGGGCATTGCTGTATCCTCTGCTGGGACCTTTACTCTCTGCTGGCCCTCACCGTTCCTGACACATTGGAGTCCTTGTGTGCCAAATCCCACTCACTTTCCTGGAGTCCTTATTGTGTTGAATACCCACTCCTTTCTGAAGCTTGTCTGCTTTAGAGTGACCCTTAACACAGGTGAGACTGCTCTAGGATTGCTTGAGTCACAATGTCTTTGCAGAATCTTTAGCAAAACAGCCCCTTTTGTTTATAATCCCAGGACCCGTCCTCTAAATAGAAGTCAGACATGATGAGGTAATTTTGGGAGTAGGACCAAGGTACAAGTCTGAATTTTAAAAAATGCTATAGTCAGAGTTACTGCTTTAGGTCTAAGGACTAAGGTTTTATCTTCCGTCTCTTGTGAGATAATCTCTCCCTGAAGGCTCCTGGCAGGCCTGCCTTACTGGTTCAGAAGACTCTCAGGGGACTTGTATAAATTGCACAAAACAATGCAGAAAATAGATCTAAGAAAGAAATCCCCATCTTTCTATCACTTCCTTTTCTGATGTGTAAAAATTCCTTATAATACTATTACATATATTATATATATAACATATATTATATATAGAAATATATATATGGAAATATATGTATATATACTTTTTAGTGTATATATGTACATATATGCATTGTATATATATTTAGTGTATGTGTATTTGTGTATATATATTTTAGTCTTACAAAGGATGCATATAAATACACACATATATACACTTAGATATATATGTGTGTGTGCATATACATACATATATATGTGTATATATACACACTTAAGCACTATTTCCTAATTGGACTTCTCGAATTTTGCATCTCAATGTAAACACCATATCATATATTTCATTATATTTCTTTTGATTAGTGACTTACATATAGTGGGTATTTAATAAATGTATACTTAATTAGAATCTACTGTTCTTGGCTCAGTTTTACTTCTGATTGCATAAAATTGGCAATAACCTATTTCTGTGCAAACTATATCTTGCATTTTCAAATAGGACTTAACAGAAAAGAGATTATTTCCCAAATTAGTCTATAAAATTATTGTAACAGGGCACAACTGATGTCTCAAACAGATCTTCACATTATAATCATCTGGAGTGCTCACTCACACTCCTACAAACACTCTGAATAAGAGTTTCTGCATTTGGTCCTGACCCTCCATTTTGGGTTTCCCATGAAATCATTGTCTCCATTATTGCTTCATAAGCTCTCACTATAGACCATGTTTCAGCTGAGCAATGCAGAAGTCTCCTTATAATCAAAAAGCCAAATGGTTTATAATTCATAATTAAGGGCTCCTGAAGGCCAAAATGGTGTTTATCAAAGCCTGAAAATTGTGTATCCACAAAGTAAATCTATGTGAACAGGAAATATTCATCCTTGGTAGGAGGAAAAAAGAAAAGAAAAAGAAAACAACAAATTGTTATCCACCTATAAAATAGACAAATGTTTGTTTACAATACTCAGTTTTATTCAGGATGTAGGCATTCTGATACTCAATGAGAGAGTAAATTGCTACATCCATAGATTTTGCTTCTATTCACAATTAGTACCAAAAACTGTATATTTTGCATATACCATGGCCGAACAATTCTACTGTAAGGAAATAGTAATAGTGGCAAACAAATGTTTAGCTATAAACATTTTTACTTAAGGATTTCACATATTTTTAAGGATTTTTTTTAAATCTAAGAATCAAGTACATGTACCATTCAATCAGAAGGAAATTAATACAGACTCCTATTCACCAAATACACAAAAATACATCCCACATGGATTAAAAATGAAAATATGAAGAATAAGGAGCTCCTGGCTTGCTCATCCAGTGGAGCATGTGACTCTTTATCTGTGGGTTGTGAGTTTGAGCCCCACATTGGGTCTAGAAATTACTTAGAAATATTTTTTAAAAGAAAGAAAATGTGAAGAATGATAATAATATATTGGAATAATAATTAACTAAAAAATGTATACTCTTGTGATGTCATCTTCTTAATCATGAAAAAAATCCATAAATTATAAAGGAAAATAAATATAAAAAGGTCCAAATGCAAGAAATACCTTTGAAAAAGTATTTTGGGGGACGCCTGGGTGGCTCAGTTGGTTAAGCATCCGACTTCGGCTCAGGTCATGATCTCAGAGTTCCTGGGTTCAAGCCCCGCATCGGGCTCTGTGCTGACAACTAGCTCAGAGCCTGGAGCCTGCTTCAGATTCTGTGTCTCCCTCTCTCTCTCTGATCCTCCCTTGTCCACACTGTCTCTCTCTCTCAGAAATAAATAAACATTTAAAATAAATAAATAAATAAATAAAAATAAGCATTAAAATTAAAAAAAAAAGTATTTTGGTACCATGAAGGTAATGGGAAAATATCTCTATATTTTATATATGTATATATATTTATATATTTTATATATATATAAAATAGCTTTTTCAAATGGAAAAGAAGAATATAAACAAAACAGTAAAAATGTGTACATACCATATGATCCAGCACTTCTATTGCTTTGTATTACCATAGTGATATATGTATACATACGCACAGGAAAGCATAGATGGATGTTTATTGTGTGGTCATTTGTAAGTGCCAATATATTAGAAATAGCCTAGGTCATCAAAAGGGAAAGATCAAATAAACAGTGGCCTATTTATGCCAAGAAAACTACACAGTAGTTAATAAGAATTAGATTCTTATATGGAAGCATCTTCAGGAATATTGTTAAGTAAAGACATTATGTATCTTTATGTTATTATTGTCACAAATAATGAATTACCTAGTTCATTTTAATATACTGCTTTAAACATACCTCCAATTTAAATCTCCTCCTTATAATTAAACACTTAACTAGTTTGATGGATATCCATCTAGAAATTAATGTATTTTTGTTTTTCATTTTAATTAAATACATAATACTTCATTATGACTTTCAAGAATCCTTTTTTTTTTTAAATTTATTTCTGAGAGAGAGAGAGACAGCGTGAGCAGGGGAGGGTCAGAGAGAGAGAGACACAGAACCTGAAGCAGGCTCCAGGCTCTGAGCTAGCTGTCAGCACAGACCCTGATGCGGAGCTCGAACCCACGAACCATGAGATCTTGACCTGAGCCGAAGTCGGATGCCTAACCAACTGAGCTACCCAGGTTCCCCCTTTCAGGAACCCTTAATTAGGAACTATAAGCCATTATAGGGAGACTCATTTTGCACAACTCAGCTGTAACAAGATATATAGTGAATGTTCATATTAACATAGCTTTATAATTATTGTTTTATGCATTTGTCTTTTAAGTCATGTAGGGAAAAAAGAGAAGTTATAAACCAAATATGAAGAAAAACTGTTTGCTTTTTTGTTTACCTATGAAGTTACCTTTACTGTTGTTGTTTGTTTTTTTATATGACTTAGGTTACTTATCTTGTGTCTCTCAGGATGGAAGTCTTATAGGGGTTTTCAGACATCTGTAAATACAAATACAGATGCTATTTTCTATAGCATGAATGTAGCTTACATTACTAAAATCATTCCCCTATTACTCAACATTTAAGTTATTTCTATGCTTTTCCCACTAAAAACAATTCTGTCTGCAATGAAAATGTTTGCACACATATTCAAATCATTGGTGCTTATATTTTTATAGCATGGATTCTGGAAAGTAAAAATCATACGTGATCATTTACATTTTCCAGCCTCCCTTGCACATATGTTGGGCCCATCAGACATAATATAAGACACTAAGGCTTTTAAACAATGCAAGCTGATCTCTCCATCGTCTTTCAGTAACCTTGGAAATCATGTGTGCCATCTGAAAGACATGACTGTGAGATGAATGCAGGCTGGATACCTAATAATCAATGAAGCGAGCCATACAGGAGAGCCAATAACTCTTGTTAAACTATGACCTGAATGAGTAATAAACCTTTTTAAAACCACTAAGATAGCTTAGTTCATCTTAATATACTGCTTTACCCACACTTCCAGTTTCAATCCTTATCCCAAACACTGATCAGTTTGATGGATATCCGTCTAGAAATTTATATATTTCTGTTTTGCATTTTTAAAGTTTATTTATTTTGAGACAAAGAAAGAGAGCACGTGCATTCGAGTGGGGAATGGACAGAGAGAGGAGAGAGAGAATCCCAAGCAGGCTCTGTGTTGTTAGCACAGAGCCCAACTGCGGGGCCAGTTCCACAAATTCTGAGATCATGGCCTGAGCCTAAACCAAGAGTCAGAGGCTTAACCGACTGGGCCAACCAGGCGTCCCCTATTTTTCATTTTAATGAAATATTATAATATTACATCTACTGTCCTACTGTTTTTACTTAACAATA